GATACTCATGAAAACGCCTTATGAACTATACAAAGGGAGAAAGCCAAACCTTTCCCATCTTCGAGTCTTCGGCTGCAAATGTTTTATTCATAACAATGGTAAAGACAACTTAGGCAAATTTGATGCCAAGTCGGATGAAGGCATTTTTCTGGGTTATTCACTTCGTAGCAAGGCCTATAGAGTCTTTAATAAACGAACCTTGACCATTGAGGAGTCCCCTCACGTTGTATTTTCCGAAGATAATCCTCGCTTGGCGAGAAAGGATATTTGTGATGATCTTGCAGATTCATTAGAGAGAATACACTTCGAAGACGATGAAGAGAACACGGGAATATACACCAACACGCAGCCGCAAATTGGAGAGACACCTCAAACTACTAACCGAGGTGAAGAAGAAAATCAAGAGGAAGAAGAAGAACAAGAGGAACACGAAGAAGAAGCAACCGAGCTTCCCATTGCATGGAGAACGAACAAGAATCATCCGCTTGACCAGGTAATCGGTAGCATCAACCGCGGGGTAAGTACTCGTAACTCACTTAGGGACACCATAGGACACATGGCTTTTGTTTCTCAAACTGAACCTACAACCATTTCCGAAGCAATAAACGATGAACATTGGACCTTGGCCATGCAAGAGGAGCTAAACCAATTCAAACGGAATGACGTTTGGGAATTGGTGCCAAGGCCCGATGATCGTACAATTATTGGTACGAAATGGGTGTTCCGTAACAAACTTGATGAAAATGGAATAATCACTAGAAACAAACTTGAAGACTTTGAGTTTCCGGACCATGTCTTCAAACTCAAGAAAGCGCTCTACGGTCTTAAACAAGCACCCCGTGCTTGGTACGAACGGTAGAGTAAATTTCTTTTGGATAGTGGTTTCCAAAGGAGAAAGGTTGACACTACACATTTTATCAAGAGTAAAAACAATAACATCCTTTTGGTTCAAGTTTATGTAGATGATATTATATTCGGTGCTACTAACGAGTCTTTGTGCAAGGAATTCTCAACGTTAATGACAAGCGAGTTCGAAATGTCGATGATGGGTGAGCTCACATTCTTTTTGGGACTCCAAGTAAAGCAAATGAAAGATGGCACGTTCATTTGTCAAACTAAATATTGCAAGGAGCTCCTAAAACGGTTTGAAATGGACACCGCCAAAGCCATGGCGACCCCGATGAGCACGTCCGACCATCTAGACAAAGACGAGAAAGGTAAGGAAGTAGAAGTCAAAAAGTATCGAGGTATGATCGGATCCCTTCTCTATCTTACTGCTAGTAGGCCGGATATCATGTTTAGCGTATGCCTTTGCGCAAGGTATCAATCATGTCCGAAGGAATCGCACTTAACAGCGGTGAAACGGATCATGAAATACCTTGTTGGCACGGTTAACGTTGGACTGTGGTATCCAAAAGGCTTTTCGTGCCATCTCGTTGGTTATTCCGACTTGGACTTTGCCGGTTGCAAATTGGACCGTAAAAGTACAAGTGGGACTTGCCACTTACTTGGTAGCTCTTTGGTTTCATGGTTTAGTAAGAAACAAGTCAGTGTTGCGTTATCCACAACCGAAGCAGAATACGTTGCCGCCGGTAGTTGTTGTGCTCAAATCCTTTGGATGAAGCAACAACTCGTGAATTATGGCCTTAGTATCAGTCACGTTCCAATCCGTTGTGATAATACTAGCGCCATAAGCTTGACGAAGAACCCCGTTCTTCATTCTAGGACAAAACACATTGACATTAGGCACCATTTCATTAGAGATCATGTTCTCAAAGGTGATGTCGAAATTGAGTTTGTTGAAACACACAACCAATTAGCCGACATTTTCACAAAACCTTTAGAGAAAGAGTCGTTCTTCCGCATTCGTAGTGAACTCGGAATCCTTGACTCCACAATGATCTAACTCTTTTGCTTGAACATTTATCATTTTTTTTCTTTGCTCGAACGTTTGCTAACTTGAGCGTCGGAGGGTTTTCTAGCTCTTTTTTGCAGGGACGGTTCGAGGTGGAAGAATCCGGAAGTCAGGGGGAACCAGCGATGGGTGGGTTATACCATCGCTGGGAGGAAAGTCATTTTTTTCCAGAACCCCTCTTCCCATCGATGGGTACTTTCTCCCATCGATGGGTAATTGACTTTTTTTTAAAAATCTTGTAACGTTGTTTTTTCCAGAAACACCTTACCCATCGATGGGTATCTCACCCCATCGCTGGGTGAAGGACTTTTGTCAAAAATAATTTTTTTTCCAGAACCTCCCTACCCATCGATGGGAACCCACTCCCATCGCTGGGTGTTTGACACTATTTTTATAAAATTTTTTATCGGATTCCCAAAATCACCAACCCAGCGATGGGATGGTATTAACATCGCTAGGAAGGCTTTCGTCTTTTATCCTTCACTTTCCAGAATCCACCTTCCCATCGATGGGAGAATCCACACATCACTGGGAAGGCAGTTCAGTTTTCCCCTTCGCTTTCCAGTGGCGACCTTCCCATCGATGGGAACTTCTACCCATCGCTGGGAAGCCTACTGCGTTTCAAAATTTTTTGACCGTTGGGCAACGAATTTAATGCCCAACAGTCATATTTTTTGAACTCAATCCGGTTTCCACCCCTTCCCTATATATACACACCTTGTTTTATCAATCCTAATCACAAATTTACATCCCAAATTCAATCTCCTAATCAAATTTCATTCTTTCTTCTTCATAAACGCTGCTATGGCCGGAGGAAAATCTAAGAGCAAGGCCTCCAAGAAGAAGACCAACATCGAAGCTACGACCTCTGCGCCCCAGCCGTTTCCCTATCTAGACGGCTCATTTATTGAGTTCGGGTCGGAGGAAGAACTCGCACGCTTCCTCACTCACTTCGCCAAGCGCCCAATCTCTCCGCCTCGCGTGCTCCCGGAGTTGTTTCCCCAAGACAAAGGGTACCACGACCTCGACAACCAACTCCAAGCATCGGGTTTGTGGCCATTCGTCTCCAAGAGCCGCTCGAGCTTCAATCCCGCCTTCGTCCGGGCCTTCTACTCCAATCTCCACCGTGACGGGGACACCATACGCAGCAGCATCAATCTCTACGACATAGAGATTGATTTGCCTACCTTTGCTCGGGTCGCAGGGCTGCCCATCCGTGGTGACGACATCGCGACTTATGGTGGCGACGATAGGATCCTCAACAACGAAGCGGTCGTCATTCGTGAGCTTGGGATCACCAACTTGATCCGCCACAGTGGCGCGCCGACAATTCACTCGGCCCCACCGGACAAGCGCCTCCTCCTCTATATCATCACCCGGATTCTCCGCCCCCAGGACAGCAGCCATACCTCGCTCTTCAACGAGGACTTGAAGGCGATTCACGCCATCATCAACGGCGCCTCCATCAATTGGGCGAAATTCGTGATGATCCACATGGCGGATTGTGCCTCCATCGCCCCTGAGCGGAGCTTTTCATACGCCTTCCTCATCATGGACCTCATCATCTCCGCCGACATCTCCATCGCCGGCCCAGATACGAAGATGACGAAGATTTGGATCATTCAAGACAGCACCTTCCGGAAGAAGTCCGGAGACCGGGACGGCGCAGCCCCAAGTCGTGCACCAGCCCCCGCTCCCGCCAAGGCCTCTTTGCAATCCATAGCCGATACTCTGAATCGGCTAACCCTCACAGTGGATGGCATGGGGCAGTCAATCGAGCGGATGGACTGGACGTTGCAACGCCAACACCACGACATGATGGCATACTTCCGTGGCGTCAACTACGTTCCGCCACCTTTCGACAGCACCATTCTCGGCCAAAACTTTGAAGGCGAGGATGAGGACGACGACTCCTACGCTCCGTCCTCCTCCCCCGACGAGGCCGACTTTGAAGATGCGGTCGATGGCGATCCCATGGACGTCGAGGATGACGAGGATGACGACGAGGATGCAAACGCTGACTCCTAGAATCTTCTTTCTTTTAATATGATTGTATTTTTTTAATTATTCCCATTCCGTTGTATTCCACATTTCCCTTTTAATAAATAAAAATTACTTTTAAATCTTTTTGTTAATGACAAAAGGGGGAAGATATAAAGGTTATGCATTAATTGAGGGGGAATCTTTTTTCTCAAACACTTTGTTAAAAATCAAATTATATTTATTAAGGGGGAACATTTTTTTAATCCTCCTATGCATAACCTCGTCTCGTTTGCCATTATCAAAAGGGGGAAATTGGTGAAACACGAGCTTGTCACGTTTTCGTACTAAAGCCGTGTACGTTTTTGTAACAGGTTTTGATAATGCCAAACCTCCTTGATCAAGATAAGACATTGAATATACAAGGCGAAGAACGAAGATAAGAACAAGAGCTATACGAAGACCAAGAACGAAGACCGTAGTCTTAGAGTCGTTGAGTCGGTCTCATTTGTGATCAAGACCGACCCAATCTTTACACCTTGGCTCTTTAGGCTAAAATCTTTTCTTTGAATTTCATACATGATAAAAATGTTTTTCAAACATTTTTAAGTCAACAAAAACACTTGGTGATCGCCCAAACCAAAAACTAAGCCATCCGGCGTTCGGCCTTCAGAAACCGGCATTCGGCTTTCGGTTATCGGCATTGGTTTTTGGGGCCCGAACCAAACACGTGATTTTCAACTTTTTATGACTTGTTTTTACTTCTTGGCATGTTTAAACAGTTCTTCAACAAAAACACTTTGAAAACCACCTTTCGTTTTTGGTCGTTTGGCAAAAACCACGCAAAACGGCATAAACTTGGCTAACCGTGGTTTTTACTCAAATGACGTGGTTTTTAAAGTCTCTCACTTGATTTCTTAGCGAAATACATCAAATAAGTGTTTTAAACACTTGGTTTTTATTTTGGAGAACTTTGGATTTTTCGGTCGGTTTTTGCATCGGTTGGCTAGGCTGTGGTTAAAGGCAAAACCATAGGTTTTTGGCTAACCACCCACCCAGCGATGGGAAGAACATCCCGTCGATGGGTAAGCGGCCCCTTAGCCAAACAAACTTCTAGAACCATGCCAAACAGCGATGGGAGGTTCTACCCATCGCTGTTAAAGCCTTGGTCCAACATTATCACAAGGCAGAATGCCCTTACCCAGAATCAAGACCGACCCAATCTTTACACCTTGGCTCTTTAGGCTAAAATTCTTTTCATTTCATTTCACATCATAAAAATGTTTTTCAAACATGTTTAAAACATTAAAAACACTTGGTGTTCGCCCAAACCAAAAACTAAGCCATCCGGCGTTCGGGTTTCAGAAACCGGCGTTCGGCATTCGGTTTTCGGCGTTGGTTTTTGGCGTCCGAACTAATCAAGTGGTTTTCAAATTTTTATGATTGGTTTTTACTTCTGGGCACATTTAAATAGTTTTCCATCAAAAACACTTCAAACACCACCTTTCGTTTTTTGTCGTTTGATAAAAACCATGCGAAACGGCATAAACTTGGCTCGCCGTGGTTTTTACTTAAATGAAGTGGTTTTCAAGTCTTTTTGTGTAGGAATTGTTTTTGATTGCATTTAAATGGTTCTCCAATAAAAACATCATGAAAACCACCTTTCGGTTTTGTCTTTTGGTAAAAACCACCAGTGTACGGCGTGGTTTTCAACATACAAAGCTTATTTTGACATCAAAATACATTAAATAAGTGTTTTAAACACTTAGTTTTTACTTTGGAGAACTTTTCATTTTTCGGTCGGGTTTCAGTGCCGGTCGGCTAAGCCATGGTTCTGGAGTAGCCATCTACCCAGCGATGGTAGATTTCACCCATGCATGGGAAAGTGATCCCGGGATTCCAGAATCATTTCACCCAGCGATGGGAGATATTACCCATCGATGGGTAAGCAGCCTTCAGCCCAATTGAATTCCAGAACCATGCAAATAGCGATGGGAAGCTCTACCCATCGCTGTTCAAGCCTTGGTCCAACATTATCACAAGGCAGAATGCCCTTACCCAGCGATGGGAAGCTTTACCCATCGATGGGAACCCAGCGATGGGAAATCTTAACCATCGATGGGAAGTCATGACCGTTGTAAGTCATTTAAGGTTGATTCTTTCCATGTTTGGAAGTCAACCTCCCACCCAGCGATGGGAAGCTTTACCCATTGATGGGAACCCAGCGATGGGAAGGCTTAACCATCGATGGGAAAGCATGACCGTTGGAAATCATTTAAGGCTGATTCTTTCCTTGTTTGAAAGTCAACCTCCCACCCAGCGATGGGAAGCATTTACCCATCGATGGGTAGGTGACCGTTGGCTTCAAAACTGAAGGAAATTTGGCTTACCAGCGATGGGTGAGTCTAAACATCGATGGGAAGCCAATATCCTGCAGATCCCAAATTTATTCAATCCCATAAATCAAGCCAATCACCCCTTTAATGTATTGGCCCGTTGGAGCCTACTTTGGCACTATAAAAAGGGGTGTTTGGGTCTGCTTTTCTAATCAATTCACTTCACTTTATTCATATTATCATTGCATCCAAACAAGATTATTTTCCATAGTTTTCTAGAGCCAATTTGTGAAGTTTGAGTTGTTCTTGAGCGTATATAGTTTACTCAACATCTACTCTTAAAGAGAGTCTTGTTCTTGAGTGTTCTTAGTGTTGTAAACACGTTTAGGGAAGCTGGTTTCCCTTGGTTGTACGAAGGAAAGGTATTTTCCTTCGGGTTGAAGTCTTGGAGTGCGGTATCTCCGAGCAAGTGTATTGAGGCTCGTGGGACTCGAGTTCTCAGGTTGTAACGCTTTGTTAAGCACCCGTAAGCTTAACGGAAGTAGTGTAGCTCGAGAGAGTCTCTCGGGAGACTGGACTAGCCACACATTGTGGTGAACCAGTATAAATCTTGGTGTGCTCCCTTTACTCCTTTTTATTCCGCTCTTTACTTTATCCCTGCGATTTTTATTCCGCGAAAATTTATAAACATTCTCGTGCCTCACCATTCACCCCCCCTCTAGTGAATGGCACTTATTCTAACATTAAGGTTCTCCCATCCATGGGAAGACAGCTACTGGAAATCCGTTAAAAAAAAATTTAAAAAAAAGTGTCAAACACCCAGCGATGGGAAGAGGGCTGCTGGTTAGAAAATACTTCCTTCCCAGCGATGGGATAAACCACCCATCGCTGGTTCCCCCTGAGTTCCTCACTTTGATACGTACCTGCAAAAAAAACAACACTTTGGTACCCAAAGTATGGCTATGGGTCCTTGGGGGTTAGTTAACCTTTATTGCCCACACACACACCCAAAATTCGTTTCCTAACACGCACACACACACACGATTAGATGATCGTTTAGGAGTTACCTTGGCCAGCCCATGGGTTCCAGTCTACCTGAACGGAGTGCCGATATCTTGGTGTGATTTGTGTTGGTTCTGGTAACGGAATGCGGACTTTCTTTTTTTCGTCAAAGTAGAAGAAATAGTATGGTTTCTTTTGTGCATTGTCTTGTGGAGATTGTTTATGATACGAATATCCTTTTCCAAAGGATTTCTTTTCGTTAGCACTAAATATGTTGTGTGTTTCATTATAGGTGAAGTGCCTATGTCTGGTAAAACACACGGGAGCTATATGTCCTACCCTATTGCAATAATGACATACTACGTTTGGGTTGAACATATGCCTAGGTTGATAATAGCTAGGGGGCCTAACCATGTTTGTCCTATTTTGAGAAAAGGATGGTTTATGCATGTTTTCAAAAGGATCATTTCTAGGTGTTCTCATATTGTCTCTTCTATTTTGAGAAAAAATATGTTTATGCACAAAAACATTTTGATAATTTTTCTTAGGTTGTCTACCATGAACGTTTTCATTCCTAGGTTTTTGTCTAGGTTGTCTAGTGTTCTTAGATTGACTAGGTTTTCTATTTACTTGATTTTTAGCTTTCTTACATTGAGCCTTAGGAGGTTGTCTAGGTGTTTGCTCAACGTTTTCTTTATTCTTAGCTTCATTTATATTAAAACCTATTCCTTCTTTAGAAAAATGCATGGTGTCAAGGAGTAAATTAAGATCTTTGTGTGGAGTATTAAATTTCTTAACCGTACTCTCAAGTTTAGTGACTTGTTCCTTTAAAGCTTTACAAGATTCACATTCATTTGAGGAACTTTCCCGTTTGTCGGCGCTTCTTTTGCCATAAGATTTATTTTCTTGTTTCAACTTCTCAATATCTTTTTCTAGCTTTTCAAAATCATTTTTAAGAGTGGAAAGGTGTTTCTTTAATGATTTGTTGATTTTAGAAGCGCTAACAAATTCATCATAAAGTTCGTGAAGTGCTTCTTGCATTTCTTCAAAAGTGTAAGTGTCGGAAGAAATGGTACATACCTCTTGTACATTGTCGGTTTGGTTTTCGTGTGCCATGAGACAGAGGTTGGCAGCTTCATCCTCGTCTTGGTCGGTTGACTCGTCGCCGGAGTCGCCACCCCAAGAGATATATGCCCTTTGCTTTTTGAAGTGGCGAGTGTTCCTTCCGTTTCTCAGGCATTTGTTCTTGATGTGCCCGGCTTCACCACATCCATAGCACACAGGGCCATCCTCAACCTTTTCTTTCTTTCTTAGAAGTTTGCAAAACTTCTTCATGACAAGCTTGACTTCATCATCATCGCTTGAGTCATTCATTGTCGGTTCTTTGGAGGCTTTTAATGCTATGCCTTTTCTCTGGTCATTCAAAGACGGGTTAAGTATAGTAGATTCATACGTTTTTAAGTTACCTCTTAAACCGTCGATGGTGACATTTGATGTGCCGATTGAGTCATATATGGCATCGGCCTTAGATCGCCATTCGGATGTCAAGCTCCGTAGGATCTTTCGCACAAGATCCCTGTCGGTGTAGGTCTTCTTCAAAGCATGAAGATCATTGACTATCTTAGAGAATCGGTCGAACATGTCATCGATGTTTTCGTGCTCCTTCATTCTAAACATCTCATACTCTTGGGTGAGGAAGTCGATCTTGGCTTCACGTACTTGGTCCGTTCCTTCGTACGTCACCTCAAGTTTATCCCACATCTCCTTGGCGATTGAGCAGCAAGAGATTTTGCACTAGTCATTAGGATTTACGGCACAATAAAGCATGTTTATTGCCTTTGCATAATTCTCGACCTTTTTGATGTCCTCCGCATCAAATTCATCTTCGGTCTTGGGGATCAATTTGTCCTCGACATTCTTCATCGGCACCTCTTCCCCATTTTTGATAACCAACCATAATTGGAAGTTCATGGAACGAATATAGATTCTTATTCGTTCTTTCCAATATGTATAATTGGTTCCATCAAAAAGAGGTGGCCGTGTGGTTGATTGCCCTTCACCTATTCCTGCATACAAATTTCTACAAGAAGAACCCATGATCGCTTTTACTCTCAAACGGTTAAGTTTGGACGCGAGTTAAGCTCTGATACCATTTGTTAGAATAAGTGACCAACGCTAGAGGGGGGGTGAATAGCGTTTGATCGTAGAAATCGCAGAAATAAAAAATTAAGAACGTGAAAGATAAAGAGCGTAGAAAGCGTAAAGGGAGCACACCAAGATTTATACTGGTTCACCACAACGTGTGGCTAATCCAGTCTCCCGAGAGACTCTCTCGAGCTACACTACTTTCTCGTTAAGCTTACGGGTGCTTAACAAACCGTTACAACTTGAGAACTCGAGTCCCACGAGCCTCAACAACACTTGCTTGGAGATACCGCACTCCAAGACTTCAACCCGAAGGAAAATACCTTTCCTTCGTACAACCAAGGGAAACAGGCTTCCCTTAACGTGTATAAAACACTAAGACACTCAAGAACAAGACTCTCCTTAAGAGTGGATATTGAGTAAAATATATACGCTCAAGAACAACTCAAACTTCACACAAGTTGGCTCTAGAAAGCTATGGAAAATAATGTGGTTTGGATGCAATGATAATATGAATATTGTGAAGTGAATTGATGTGTAAAGCAGACCCAAACACCCCTTTTTATAGTGCCAAAATAGGCTCCAACGGACCAATACATTAAAGGGGTGATTGGCTTGATTTATGGGATTGAATAAATTTGGGATCTGCAGGATATTGGCTTCCCATCGATGTTTAGACTCACCCATCGCTGGTAAGCCAAATTTCCTTCAGTTTTGAAGCCAACGGTCACCTACCCATCGATGGGTAAATGCTTCCCATCGTTGGGTGGGAGGTTGACTTTCAAACAAGGAAAGAATCAGCCTTAAATGACTCACAACGATCATGCCTAACCAGCCATGGGTATGCCCTCCCATCGTGTTATACCCAATCTCAGGTTTTAAAGGAACTATCTTGTTAAGAACAGGGAAGAAATAATCGATTGTCCAAAGTGGATAATCGATTATCAGGGGCTTCAGTTTCTGGGGCAATTTTCTAGGGATTTTCTAGGAGGGGAGATAATCGATTTACAGGAGTTGTCAATCAATTATTGAGGATGGCAGGTTTTTTTTGGGAAAGGCTGATAAACGATTATTGGAGACTGATAATCGACTATTGAGGGCTGCAGGTGTTTCACGAAGGATAGATAATCGATTTCCAGTGGGGATAATCGATTATTTGATAGCTCGAGACAGGAACAAGGTACTTCTTTGGAAAGAAAAACAAACCAAATTGGTGTTAAGGGATATTACACACCCTTATCTTAACTTGGGGTTGAATCTAGCATTTAAATAAGATATTACACACTTACTTAAATAACTAGAACCTAAAACTCACACTCAAGAGAACCAGTCTTAAGATATAGGATTAGGAATTTGGAATGAAACACACAAGTGAATCACTTTGACTAAAATTGGAATACAATGTGTGTTTACAATGCTTAGGGATGAGCTTATATAGGCATAGAAAAGGGAGACTACCAAGTCTCTTATTCACACAAATTAAAGAAATTAATGGCCACTTGTTGATGTTCCTTTAGTGGGAAAAACACAGGGATTATTGTACTTGTAGGGCAGGATTTTTGCTATTAGTGGTTGGAGGGAATATGTGAATATAATTCACAATTGATTGGCTTAGGTGGGTTGTTTTGGGCAGGAGAAAAAGGGTGGGGTAGCAGGTTATTTGGAGGTATTTCCTGGGCTGGATATGGGATAAAAACATGGGGAATTGAAGGGTGTGGGTGTGGGTCAAGGTGTCTTGGATTTTATGGCTGTTTGTTTAGCCAAGTTGAGGTGTAAAGGAGTGGTATTGGCAGGGTTGTGGCATATGAAGGAAAAATAAATGTAGTTTTGGGTTTATTATTTTGGATATTTTGGGGTTTGGATTGGATGAGAATGGCTGGGCCTTTTAAGTTGGAGTTGGGCTCAGGGAAATTATGGCTATGTGGCGGGTTTTAGGATTGATAAGTTCGGTCCAAAAGGAATCATAACACTTAGCCATTATTCCGTTAATTTGTTTAACGACTTTAGAGTCGTTGGTAGTCGCCCGGGGTATATCATCCTCCCCTTCTTCAAAAGAGTTTGTCCTCAAACTTGGAATTTCTTCAGGCTCAAAGTACGGGCTGATGTCCTTGATATTTAAAGTAGCCGATACTCCATAATCTCCCAGAAGGTTAATCTTGTAGGCATTGTCATTGATTTTCTCTATGATTTCAAATGGGCCATCGGCTCTTGGCAGCAACTTTGACTTGCGTTTCGTGGGGAAACGCTCTTTCTGAAGGTGAATCCAAACTAGGTCTCCTGGTTGGAAGTGGACGTTCTTCCTTCCTCTGTTGATGCGTGCACTTACCTTCTCGTTTATAGCTTCAATCTTCTCTCGAACCCTGGCGTGAAGGTCTTGGATTTCCTTTGACCGCTTGTCCGCTTCCCAACTGTATTTGGTTTCCGTGATGATCGGATCAAGTTCAAGTGGGGTCAAGGGGTTCGAACCATAGACCACCGTGAATGGGGATAGTCCGGTAGTCTTGTTCGGGGTTCAGTTGTAGGCAAACTCGGCGTGTGGAAGAAGCTCCTCCCATTGCTTGATGTTCTTCTTGATGAGGGCTCGTAAGAGTTTTCCCAGGGTGCGGTTGGTGACCTCGATTTGGCCATCGGTTTGTGGGTGGCTTGACGTACTAAACTTCAGTTTAGTACCCAATTTTCTCCAAAGAGTCATCCAAAAATGACTAAGGAATTTGGTGTCTCTGTCCGATACCATGCTTCGAGGAACGCCATGGAGTTTGACTATCTCTCGAAAGTAGATATCTGCAACTTGTGAAGCATCATAAGTGGTAACACATGGCACAAAATGGGCCATCTTTGAGAAACGGTCCACGACAACCATGATCGAATGTTTGCCCCGCTGCGTCCTTGGTAGCCCGGTGATGAAATCCAAGCTAATATCTTCCCATGGTGCACAAGGAACGGGTAGCGGCATGTGCTTTCCTTGGGGCAGTGAGTGACTCTTTGCTAGGTGGCATGTGTTGCAACGCTTGATAAAACGCTCGACGTCTCGTTCCATCTTTGGCCAGTGGTAATGCTCCTTCATCATCATGTGAGTCTTGTCGACTCCATAATGACCAGCTAGGCCTCCTCCGTGGACTTCTTCAATGAGGGTTTCGTGCATACTGCTTTTCGGGATGCACAGTTGGTTACCACGGAAGAGATAACCGTCTATGACAAGAAAATCTCCATATGGCCGAATGAGGGACTTAGAATAAGTGTCCTTGAAGTCTTCATCTTCCTTGTACAGCTCCTGCAAAAACTCAAAACCAACAAGTTTGGTACTAAGTACCCTTAGTAATAAATGCCTCCGGGACAAGGCATCGGCGCCCTTGTTCATGGTTCCGTTTTTGTGTTTGATGGTGACGGTGAAGGTTTGGATATACTCGACCCATTTAGCATGCAGGGGTAGGAGTTTATGTTGCCCTTGGATGTACTTTAGAGCCTCATGGTCGGAATGTAAGATGAATTCCTTGCTCACGAGATAATGGCGCCAATGCTCAAGTGACCGCACTAATGCGTAGAACTCCTTGTCGTATGTGGAATACCTCCTTCTTGTGTCGTTTAGCTTCTCGCTAAAGTACGACACCGGGTGCCTTTCTTGGGATAGGACAGCTCCGATTCCAACTCCTGAGGCATCACACTCGACCTCGAATAGTTTGTCAAAACTAGGAAGGGCTAACACGGGGGCATGTTTTAATTGCTCCTTGATTGTTTCAAAGGCCTATTCAGCCTTGGAGTTCCACTCGAATTTCTGATTTTTCGTCAAATCCGTGATAGGTGCCGTGATGGTGCTAAAATCCTTCACAAATCTCCGGTAGAAAGAGCCAAGACCATGAAAACTCCGAACTTGTTGCATAGTGGTGGGGGTTGGCCATTCTCTAATGGCTTGTGTCTTCTTTTCGTCCACCCGTATGCCTTCACTTGAGATAAAGTATCCAAAGAACTCCGTTTCTTGCGAAAAGAATTGGCTCTTTTCGAGGTTGTCGTAGAGTTTCTCCTTGTCCAACTTCTTAATCACCAAAGTGAGGTGATTAGCATGATCTTCTTCATTTTTGCTATAAATCAGAATGTTGTCAAAGTAGACAACAACAAAATGACCTATAAACGGCTTCAAGACCTGATTCATAAGCCGCATGAATGTGCTCGGGGCATTGGTTAATCCAAATGGCATAAACAACCATTCGTATAACCCAAACATCGTCTTGAACGCTGTCTTCCACTCGTCTCCTTCAAATTTTCGAATTTGATGATATCCACTCCTAAGATCAATTTTTGAAAAGATCTTAGAGCCATGCAACTCGTCCAACATGTCTTCCAAACGGGGAATCAGGTACCGGTACTTGATAGTGATCTTGCTGAGAGACCGACTATCGCAGCACATACACCACGTTACATTCTTCTTGGGAACCAAAAGTGCCGGGACAGCACACAGGCTAAGGCTTTCTCTCACGAAGCCCTTAGCCAATAACTCATCAACTTGTCGTTGAATTTCCTTCGTTTCTTCGGGGTTCATTCGGTATGCTGGTTTGTTGGGTAGGGCAGCCCCCGGAATGAGGTCAATTTTGTGTTGGATGTCTCGTTTAAGGGGAGACCGTGCGGGAAATCTTCGGGGAACACTTGAGCATATTCTTCAAGGATCGGTTGGGCTAGAGAGTGGGGCTGTTTTGGGTGGACAGTGGGCTCGGCTTCTCCATCTTCAAGGAGAATGAGGTCTTTAACTATATGGAATTCATGTTGCTCAGCTTGTATGATGGTGGAGAAAAGGACGGGAGTGGGTTCTTGTGGCTGTTTGTCCGTAGGTGAAGTGGGGGGAGGGAGAGGTGTCAAGGTGATCTTCCTTTTATTCATCAAGAACGAATAAGTTTAGCCATCATGTTGCACACGGTGATCAAAGAGCCACGGGCGTCCCAAAAGTATGTGGCATGCATCCATAGGAATGATATCGCACCATTCGTCGTCCTTGTATGATTTGCCGATACTCAAAGAGATGAGACTTTGGGTATCAACACGTAAGCCCTTGCCATGATTCAACCATTGAATCGTGTAAGGCTTAGGATGTGGAGAGGTCTTCAAACGCAGCTTGTCTATAATGGTTTTGGACGCCACATTGGTGCAACTTCCACTATCAATGATAAGCGAACACACCTTCTTTTGGACCGTACAACGTGTGTGAAAGATGTTTTCACACTGCACTTGTTCTTCGGGGCAGGTTATAGCACTCAAGGTCCTTCGGATGACCAAGAGTTCTCCTTCATCGGGGCCAACAAACTCATCTAGTTCTTCGACTTCTTCAACTTCTTCTTCAACCCAAGTTGGGTCAAAGTCTTCTTCATCACACTCGACAATGGCCATCACCTTCTTGTTAGGACATTCATTGGCATAATGACCTCGTCCTTGGCACCGAAAGCAAACAGGTGCTTTCTTGGTGGGATCAGTCCGGGGTGTGAAAGAGGAGGAGGGGTTTCTTGAGGTAGATGGGGAGGAGGAGGAGGAGGAGGGGTTTGGGCCGTGGGCAGTAGTGGGGTTTTTGGGGGTAGTGTAAGGTAATTTTGGTGAAGGGTAAGGTGGTTTGGATGTGGAGGAGTACGGCCGTGGGGAAGGGGTGTTATTTTTGGAAAAAAGGGCTTTGGATTTCTTATGTTGAGCTTCAACTTTGAGGGCCAACTTCGTGAGTTCTTCAAGAGAGTCGTAACTTTGCAACTCCACCGTGTTGGCGATTTGTAGGTTTAAGTCGAATAGGTAACGAACAAAGGTTTGTTCGTCATCTTCTTGCAAGTCACACCTCAGCAAGAGCTCTTCAAACTCCCGGTTGTATTCTTCAACGGACTTAGAACCTTGCCTGAGCGTTTGAAGCTTAGCTAAATTCTCACGAACATATTCGGCGGGTAAAAACTTCTTCTTTAGAAGGGACCTCATCTTTATCCACGTGGACACCGGTTCCTTGTCGTTTCTTCTCCTCTTGGTGCATGTATTAGTCCACCAAGTTGATGCATACTTCTGGAACTTTAAGGCCACTATCTTGACCTTCTTTTCGTCGGAAACATCTTTGAAGTCAAAGACGCGTTCCACTGTTTCTAGCCACTCGAGGAACTCGTCCGGGTCGTTCTTCCCTTCAAAAGTTGGAATGTCAACTTTGAAGTCAGAACCTTCATTGGCTTTAGGCTTCATGGTTCCACTAGAACTAACGTCTTCTTCACGGTCACTTCCTTGGAGCTCGTTGAGTTTCATCTTCGTAAGCTTGGCTACCTCTTTAGCCAAGTACTCTACTTGGGCTTTCAAGGCTGTATTTGAGGCAATGAGCTCTTCATGGGACATAGTTCAGGATTCATTCGACATGGTTGAAGTGGGAAAAGGTAAGGAAGGTCGTTTAGTTTGGCTTTGGGGGGTTTTAGGGAAGAGGGAAGGGAGTGCTGGTGAGTGGCCCTTTGGGGATGTTCAACACTTAGCTTTGATACCAAATGTTATACCCAAGCTCAGGTTTTAAAGGAACTATCTTGTTAAGAACAGGGAAGAAATAATCGATTGTCCAAAGCGGATAATCGATTATCAGGGGCTTCAGTTTCTGGGGCAATTTTCTGGGGATTTTCTAGGAGGGGAGATAATCGATTTACAGGAGGTGTCAATCGATTATTGATGATGGCAGGTTGTTTTTGGGAAAGGCTGATAATCGATTATTGGAGACTGATAATCGACTATTGAGAGCTGTAGCTGTTTGGCATGGTTTTGGAAATCAGTTGGGCTGAAGGCTGCTTACCCATCGCTGGGTAATATCTCCCATCACTGGGTAGAATGATTCTGGAATCCCGGGATCACTTACCCATGCATGAGTGATATCTACCATCGCTGGGTAGATGGCTAGCCCAGAACCATGGCTTAGCTGACCGACACTAAAACCCGACCGAAAAATGCAAAGTTCTCCAAAGTAAAAACTAAGTATATAAAACACTTATTTAATGTATTGTGATGTCAAAAAAAGCTTTTTAAGTTGAAAACCACGTCGTTAAGGTAAAAACCACGGTTGACCAAGTCAACGCCATACACGGGTGGTTTTTACCAAAAGACAAAACCGAAAGGTTTTTTTCATGATGTTTTGATTGGAGAACCATTTAAATTCATTCAAAAACAATTCCTACACAAAAAGACTTCAAAACCACTTCATTTAAGTAAAAACCACGGCTAGCCAAGTTTATGCTGTTTCGCATGGTTTTTATCAAATGACAAAAAACGAAAGGTGGTTTTTGAAGTGTTTTTTATGTAAAACTATTTAAATGTGCCCAGAAGTAAAAACCAATCATAAAAAGTTGAAAACCACATGGTTAGTTCGGACGCCAAAAACCAACGCCGAAAACTGAATGCCAAACGCCGGTTTCTGAAACCCGAACGCCGGATGGCTTGGGTTTTGGTTTGGGTGAACACCAAGTGTTTTTAATGTTTGAAAAACATTTTTATGATGTGAAATGAAATGAAAAGAATTTTATCCTAAAGAGCCAAAGTGTAAAGATTGGGTCGATCTTGATCACAATTGTGACTGACTCAACGACACTAAGACTACGGTCTTCGTTCTTGGTCTTCTGTTGGCCCTTGTTCTCTTTCTTCTCATCTTTGGTTCTCGCCTTGTATATTCAATGACTTGTCTCGTTCACGGCGGTTTGGCATTATCAAAACCTGTCATAACAACAAACACGGCTTTAGTATGAAAACGTGATAAACCCGTGTTTCAACAATTTATGGTTGATTCTTTCCATGTTTGGAAGTCAACCTCCCACCCAGCGATGGGAAGCATGTACCCATCGATGGGTAAGTGACCATTGGCTTCAAAACTGAAGGAAAATTGGCCTACCAGCAATGGGTAACGTCCATACATCGCTGGGAAGCCAATATCCTGCAGATCCCAAATTTATTCAATCCCATAAATCAAGCCAATCACCCCTTTAATGTATTGGTCCGTTGGAGCCTATTTTGGCACTATAAAAAGGGGTGTTTGGGTCTGCGTTACACATCAATTTACTTCACAATATTCATACTTTCATTGCATTCAAACAACACTCTTTTCCATAGCTTTTTAGAGCCATTTTGTGTGAAGGTTGAGTTGTTCTTGAGCGTACTTAGTTTACTCATCATCTACTCTATAAGAGAGTCTCGTTCTTGAGTGTATTTGTGTTGCTAGACACGTTGAGAGAAAGTATTTCTCTCGGTTGATTCAAAGGAAGGGCTGTTTCCTTTGAAGGACTCGTTGAGGTTCGTGTGACTCGAACTCTCAAGTTGTAAGGGTTTGTTAAGCACCGTTAAGCTTAACGAGATAGTAGTGTAGCTCGAGAGAGTCTCTCGGGAGGCTGGATTAGCCACAAGTTGTGGTGAACCAGGGTAAATTTGGTGTGCCTCTTACTCTTCTCTTTTCATCTCTTTTAAATTTTTTAATTCCTGCGATTTCTACGATCAAACGCTATTCACCCCCCCCTCTAGCGTTGGTCTATTATTCTAACAAGTCACACCTTGTTATGAAATGCCTAGTGACGTAATTGCTTACCATCAAGAAATGAATAAAGTGATATCTGTTATGAACTCGTCTATTCAAGTCAAAAATCCTAATGAAAAAATTTCTGTTATTGTAGAATGAGTCAAGAAACCGCTCACAGTCAAAGTAATCAAGTGCCAAACAATGAACAAGAGAATGTTCATACCGAAGTATCCAATTTCGCACCTATTCAAAATGAACCAATGAACCCACAAAATATTCCCTAAAATGATCAAAATATTGGAGGTCAACTTGATGCTATGCTACCTACCTTAATGGTAAACTTCTTGCAATAAATGACCAATGTCCCTGTGTTTCAACCACCTCCACCACCACCTCGTTTGATCACTTTCAAAACTTTGAAAGATAATCGTGCTGAGGAGTTTCTAGGAGATCGAATTGCCGAACCCAAGATTGCTCTTGAATGGATCGAGTAGACCGCTCGTGTACTACAAAATTTGAACATACCTCTTTTTGATCATCCAAAATTTACAGCTCAATTGCTCCGCAAGGAAGCCTATGAATGGTGGAAACACACTGACGAAAATCCAAACACACCTAAACCTTGGACTTGGGAATTCTTTGATTGGGCATTCAAGAAAGAATATATCCCAGCCCGATTCCGTGAAGAGAAGGGTGCTGAATTTGTTGAATTGAAGCAAGGAGATTTGTCCATCTCGCTCAATTTGCACCCACACTGGTGAGCACAGCGGCTGACCGCATTGAAGAGTTTCGCAAAAGACTTCGACCTGATCTCAGGCCGCACGTATCTACTATTCAAACTATGGATTTTATTGAGGCATACGACCTAATCTCCAAAGCTGAAAAGGATCTAAGTGATTACTATGAAAGTCTAAAGACTGAGAATGCCAATTCAAATGTACGACCAAATACAACTGGGAAGAGACCCTTGCAAGAAATCAAAAGTGCCCTACACTCGAAAAAGGGAAAGTCAATGACAAATCAAACGACGACATCCGTAAACAAAATGAGAGTATGGAAACATCCAAAGTGTAATATTTGTAAAAGACACCATCCAGGAGAATGACGGTTTACGCAAGGATTATGTCTAGGTTGTGGCAAATCTGGACATTTCCAAAGGGAATGTCCCACTAACCCTGGACCATATTCGATTACTTCTATTCAAAATCAATCTGTTCATTCAGGAACAAGTCAACGTTCTAAAACACGAAACATTTCAAAGAATCCAACCCAAGGATGATACTCTGTGAAGATCCTAAGGTGCTACAAGGGCTCGAGGATATATTGAATAATGTAGAAACCTTATGTAAACAAGAAATTATCTTTCGATTTGTATCCCAAGAATATTCGTAACTGTTTGAATTTTTGTGTGTTGAACACTTTGTATAATAAAATCTTTCATTCAACCCATCTTGAAGAAAATGTTTGATATTTACATGATGCATTTTGACGTTAAAAATAAATATTTTTCTGACTTGCACTGGCCATGCAGCTTAGAATAACATTTATGGTTAACTCATAATGTTCATAGACAATATTATTTCAACATAAATTCAACTGAAATTAAATAAAGTAATATTACAAATGCAACTCTAAGTCCAATGCCTCAGGATTTACAAACTCGTCATAAGTAGCCCCAGGACCCGGAAAAGCTTTAGCAAACGCTAGCTTGTCTAAAAGCTCATCAATAAAGAAAGAAGAGATGAAAAGTTTTCTCTGACTGGAAGCCATGAAGTTCTGCCTCATCGCGTCATCTAGAAATTTGATTAGGTTATTAAAATAACCGTCAATGTTCAAGAGACCAATGGGTTTATTGTGCAACCCTTCGGATGCCCACGAAATTAAGGTGAACGAACCTTCCATATTATCAATTCCTCCGGGAAGTATGATGAAAGCCTCCACCACATGATTCATCTCAAAATACTTGTAGTAATTGCTGGAAACGGTGTACTCTGCACCGTATGTAGGACCATAGACCTATCGTGCTGCTATGTACCCTAGTATGAAGCCTCTAACTATACCACCATTGTTATAGACTGTTAAAGCAACACCTCCTTGAAGGCCAATGTTGCCTCCTCCATAGGTAAGTCTAATTTTTCGCATTACCAATTCCCTTCATAAATCCACCACCGTAGCCATGAACTTTGGATTTTTACCAAGAGCATGACTACCAAGTAGACCAACGAATCTTATGGTATAAGAAAGAGCTTGAGAAGTTCCTTCCATAATGTGAGAATGTGAGATACTCTTGCCACAATCGTGATATATATAGTCTGCTAACGATATGACATATTGAGAACTCGTGAATAGTTAGATTCGATGTCATAAAATAAGTTCAAATTCATGACGAAAAGTCAAATTGACTAATGCCCTAAGACAACGACCCCTTGAGTAACTTAAAAAAATTACGTTACAACGTATGAATTGAAATAATCTCCAAATTTCCAACTAATCCTATCGGTTGCAAAGGCTATTGAAGAACATTTCAATTGAGAAAAGAATATTTTCGACCAAAATATATATTCTATTGAGTATACTCCAAAATATGATGCAAAGGAAACTTATTTACTGACATTGACTTCAAACAAGAATATGTAAAAGGATTGATGAATACCTTTGTTAATCTCTCGAAGATAGAACGAGTGTGATGACATCTACGGTTTGAAAATACGTGTTTGTAGGGATAACGACGTAATCATAATGAGTGAACCTGACGCAATCATGATTAAACGAGAATACAACAAGTTATTGATCGTTGAACCTTAGATGAATTTCGAGGACGAAATTCCTTTAAGAGGGGAAGAAATGTAACGCCCCAAAACATAGTCTAAAAGTTATTCTATTATAAAAGTATTTTTAGAAACAATATTTTGACTCAACAAAGCATTATTTCTATGTTTGACCAAAAATGAAGGAATTTTTAGAGTCAATAATTTTTGTTAAGATTGACTTTTATGGATAGGTCTTGAAGAGACGAAGCCAACGGTATATTTTATGAATACATCTGATGTACAGAGCTTCAGTTATGACATTTTAAATATGTAATTTGTATAAAAATGAGAAAAAGTCAAAGATGTGAACTTTTGTAAAATGATGTATTGAAATAAATATTTATATTTAATAATATTGATTGAATATGAGACTAATTTTAATTACATATCAATTAATTCAATTTTGACTCTGTCAAAGTCAACACCCAAAAATATGTTGTCAGAAAAAGTATTTCAAATAAATATAAAAATTATATAGTTGGATAGAGTTTAACTGTCGATCGCAATGGTACAAACGGAATTTAATTCGGAGAAAGTTGGACCAAAAAGTATACCCCGACTGGAACCAAAATTGGTCCCGATCAGGGAGACTGTGAAGACGACGCCTCCTCCTCCACTCAGCCGATCGTGAGTCGATTCCTACACAACATCCTGTGTCTTGTTCTTCATCATCTTCACCAAAAGTTGTGAAACTACTACCAATGTGTTCTTAAGAGTGTGGGGAGTACTCTGAAATAGTTGGTGGTAGCCGAAGTCGCCGGAGTTGAGAGAAATCATAACCGGAAGTTTCGCTGGAAAATTTCCAAAACCTTCAATTACGTTCGAGGTAAGCCCGTAGATATATCTAGTGATTAGAATGTTCATATAGATCGTTTCTACGTTCATAAACGGTCGTTTGGTTGAGTTTTGTGTTTGACATGCTTGAAGAACCAAGAATCATAAACCATGAAATTGATGTTAAAAGTATGAATTATTTATGACAAAATGATCTATGAACCTTGGAGAACATCTCTATATAGTTTCGTTGAAGTTCGATAACTAAAAACCGTATTTCCGAAATTGGACCCGAACGAAGAAGAAGATGAACAGTGGCTGAAAAACCACTGTCTGGATCGATCCAGGGGCTTGGATCGATCCTCTGGGAACATTTTTTCATATCATGGATTGATCCAGAGGGCCGGATCGATCCCCCAAAGTTCTGATCCGAAAATTTGTCTGAAATTGCTAATTTTGAGCTCTAAAATCCTATTTTTGATACCAATGGATTATGATCATTATAAAAACGATTTACCATAATAAAAATGATGTTTTTAACAACTAAAAATGTTATGTGTTGCATGACGGTAAGTTCGGGTGTTAACACTCGAAGCTAGGCCGCTATTTGTTATCAATTGTTGTGTTAATTGATGATTATGATAAATGAATATTAAGGATGATTATGAGTATTGAACCTACTGATTAAAATAAGTATTTATGATTGAATCATGAATAAAATGAATACATTTATAATTATGAAATGATTTGTAGTGTTAAGGGTATCTAGAAGAACTCTAAGGTATACACATTTAGAGAATTGATGTTAAGGCTATCTAGAAGACCTCTAGAATAGATCTCATATTAGTATGGATTCGTGAAACATGAATATTCGATGAATTAGATAAAAATGCATAAACGGGATTCGTAGACCAAGCTAGAGGATTACTCGTTTGGAAATGCCCGATCCAATGTTGATCAATCGCTATATTGTTATTGCCTTAACTGACTACAGTTAAGTGTCCGAAATCATTTGCCTTAAACTAATGACAGTTTAAGTGTCTGATTGCCTTAATTGACTACAGTTAAGTGTCCGAAATCAATTGCCTTAAACTTATGATAGTTTAAGTGTCTGATCAATAATTGCCTTAAAAGAATTTAGTTATGGAAGTTATGATTTGGCCTTAGACTAAGAATAGCTAAGAGCATTATTATGATTTGGCCTTAGACTAAGAATAGCTAAGAGCATTATTATGATCTGGCCTTAGATTAAGAATAATTTAAGAGCACTATTGAAATAGTATCTGAATTGAATAAAATGTGTTGATATGAACTGAATAATATCAAAACTGTGAATGTCTGAAACGAACATTGTGTGCATGATATCAAAAGATTTGATTATGAATTTAGATTCAGTTTATATGAATGTTCGACGCATTAGATATGCTTACTCAGCTTTACCGCTGAGCGTGTAGTGTGTTTTATTTGCTACACGCAGGTAAACAGAAAGATTAATGTGATCCTGGCGGCAGATGGGGCGAGATTGTCGGGATGGATGTGACAAATTTGAAATGATTTATGATATGTCAAAATTAAATTCGCTTCCACAATATTGTTGAATACTCCGTACTGTATGTGTTATGAAAAATATTATTGTGATAAATAAAAGTGTTTGAAAAGTTTTAAATTTTTATGATTACCAAGTTAAATACTTTAGTAAGAAAGGGGCTGTAGACCTGGACGGATTAGGCTGTTACACTTAATCCCCTCTAAATCCCAGCCATCACAAACTTCTCACGGTGCCGAAAGCACTCCCGAAGCCACCACCACCTTCAAAACTCAAACTCCCTCTAAATTCCGCCCTTTACCTTACACCCATGTTGTCCAACACATCTTTCACCCAACTCCTTCTCATCTACTCAAAAACCCGACTCAAACCACCTCTTTACCTTCCTTAGCCACTTCCCATTTTCACCCAAACGCCTTCTCCAGACCTCTGACCCAAAACTCCTTAAAACCCCTCTCTATTTCTTCCTTGACTACTGCCCAAACAAACCCCAAAACCCTCTCCATACCCCTGCCCCCAACCTCCCCTACAACCATGCCTATAACCCCCCCACAAACGGCCCTAACCATTCCCACACCTACCCCTACATTCCCCTTGAAAAACCATCTAAAACCATTCCTTTACCCTCCCAAAACACTACCCAAAGCGCTCTAAAAGCCTCTCCTATACCCACGGTTCAAAACCCTGTTAAAACCGTAGGCCCTCCACCAAATGCCATGGTCATACCCCCACCTAAACCTTCCCATCTATTCCCAAGAACCTGTTATATACGGGCCTGGCCCTATCATACCCTCCCCCATGTCCCACACCCTCGCAAAAACCAAAGGACTTACGTTCAAACATTATGATCTGTTTTAGTGAGAATTCCGAGTCCTTCAACCCGAGCGGCCAGAATAACTTCAGACCCAAGGGTTCCGAAGACCGACTCCCACTCCGTCCAACCCAACCCTAAATATCCAAAACTCCTTGCTATTTAATTCATTTCAAAATAAAGTTTTTATTACTCTTATTTTAGCCCCTGGCCGAAAATAAGAGTGTGTAAACCAAAACCTTTTGTTTGTTGTTATTTTCCTTCTTTTAAGCCCTTTTATTAAACAAATAAAACCCTCCCTTTATTCCATTCATCCCCTGGCCAAAATACACTTCACAACCCCAACACAACACCCAAAAAGAGCTAAAATCCTGACCCACCACAAACCACTAATCCCTGCCCATTTTCCCTTACAATAACCCAAACCCATATGTCCAAAACCACCCCTAATATTACCCAGCCCTGTCCCCTTTTATTGGCCAAAAACAACCCCTCATTTTTACCCAAATAATACCCATAAAACCCAGGAAACAACCACTACAAACCCAAAACCCAAACCCCAGCCCCATCCCTGAATTTTATTCAACTTTGGAGACAAGATTCAATGAGTGTTGCCCCCTGCTTGGGAAGTGGACGTTGCTAGGAAGCTTCCTCATGTTTACATTCAATGTATTATGTATATCCCCCTTCCCTTCTCCCTATATAATCAGGCCCTATGGCCATTGTAAACACATCTTTTGAATATTAAAACCCCTTTTACTCTTTGAGTATTCTTAAAATAGTGTGATGCTATTTTAGCCAAATTCCTAATTCTATATCTTAAGAGTGGTTATCTTAAATGTGAGTTTTAGGTTCTAGATGTTTGATTAAGTGTGTCATATCTTAATTAAATTCTAGATTCAAACCCCAAGTTAGGATAAGAGTGTGTAATATCTCTTAAACACCAACTTGGTTTATCCATCCTTGAATTTCTTCCATTTCATATCCCCCCATTTCTGTTCTTAAATTTAATCTTTTCCTTCATCATCTCCATACTTTTCCAGCCATTCCCCCACACAAAACATCCTTCTTCTTGCCCAGAATTCCGCCCAATAATCGATTATCCTTAGTGACAATCGATTATCAGTCACTGTTCACTAGTACATAAAAAAGCAAAGGCACCGGTTGTTTTATACCTTTAGCATCGGTTTTGTACCGATGCAAATACAAGCGATGCAATTGATCCAATTTAATTATATTGCATCGCTTCGAAAACAACCGATGCCTTTGCTATTTTATTAATTTAAAAAAAAGAGTATTAGCATCGGTTGTTTCTAAACAACCGGTGCCTTTACTATTTTATTAAATTAAAAAAAGAAGAGTATTAGCATCGGTTGTTTTTAAATCGATGCCTTTGCTATTTTATTAATTTAAAAAAAAGAGTATTAGCATTGGTTGTTTCTAAACAACCGATGCCTTTGCTAGTTTATTAATTAAAAAAAGAGTATTGGCATCGGTTGTTTCTAAACAACCGGTGCCTTTGCTATTTTATTAATTTTAAAAAAAGAGTATTAGCATCGGTTTTTTCTAACGAACTGATGCCTTTGCTATGCTATTTTTTAAATATTAATAAAAAGGTGGTATTTCTAATAGCTCTCTATCAAACAAAGAATTCACCCAAACACTATCAAGCATGTTGAGAAGGGGAATTCACAAGTTCAGTCTATGAGATGGGCAGTGGAACAAAAAAGAGTCAAATGACGAATATTCACACGGATAAACCTTTTCAAATAGAAAGTCATTATTTGCAGGAGTGTATCCTAGAAAAAGAATGACAATCAAATAAAAGATGCATTGTGAGAAAAAACAGCTCACAACACAGTGATCATATTTCCGAGTTTTTGTGCACCTAAAACTTTGGTTGTCAACTTCACTGGTCTCATTTCTTCGCCAAACCTGACAGAATAAAGCACAACACAAATGACCAATTAGGTTGTTTCTACAATCTAACAACAAATATACCCATCATGTGGTAAAAACTGCTTTACTTTTTAATTCCATGATGAGGAACCATAAGCCACTCTGCTGCAAAACATATATTACTGTAAGTGTTTGTTTCATTAGCTATCCTAAATTCACTCAGATTTTGAATTACAGGCTCATAGAAATAGCAATACTCATAAAAATCATAGTTACCGAGGTCATTAATATTTTTGTACCAGAGCAATGTCACTGAAAAAGCTCAGGCCTCCAACTTTAATGTGATATCGAGTCACATCATCAAACTTCTGCATAGATCACAATGCGTGTATCGATGAGTATAGATCACGCTAGTCATAAAGCAATCAAAGCATAGATGATAAATGAAATGTCAACAACATTTGACCTCAGAAGTGGTAAGAATTATGTCAGCATCCACAATATCCTTATTGTTTTAGTGATATGATGTTTCGAGGAAGGGGCAGTTTACTAAAATAGATAACTGCAATGATGTCTGCACCTAAACCAGACAAGATACTAGGAGCACAACTAAGTTAAATCAAAGTACTAGTTGGGGGTGAAAAAACATGGTTTTTAGAAAAGTAAAAATAATAATAAAAAAGACTTTGAACTGAGTCGATTTATGTAACTTACAGCCTTCAGAGACCCCTTTGCATGTACATATACACCCTCAGTGGATATGAACCGTGAGAGAAGCCTCAAAATGCATAGTTCAAAAAGTACTGTTTTCCCACTTCCGGCAGGTGCAGAAATAACCATGTTCACGTCTGAAAGGTAGCAAACAAGAAAACATTCACACTGCAAGGAGTTAAAATACCTGCACATCATCAACACCATTATCATTATCAACACCTTAATTTCAACTAGTTGCTTCAGTGTCATTATATTTACAGTGGTACTAAGTTTATAGTGCCATATAAGTTCAACACAAAAGCATAGCAGCAACGTTTTATGTTGGTTGCCCTTCCTGTTGCAACCTTCAAGAAGAAAAATAAAGCAGTTTTTTATATTGCTTTTTTTGCTAGGAAACATGTATGTATAGCTCAATATCTGTAACACCCTAATCCGTCCAGGTCTGCAGCCCCTTCCGGACTAAAGTATTAACTTGGTAATCGTAAAAATTTAAAACTTTTCAAACACACTTTATTAATCCCAATAATTTTTTTATAACATATACAGTACGGAGTATTCAACAATATTGCGGAAGCGAATTTAATTTTGACATATCATAAATCATTTCAAACTTGTCACATCCATCCCGACAATCTCGCCCCATCTGCCGCCAGGATCACATTGTGCTTTCTGCTTACCTGCGTGTAGCAAATAAAACACACTACACGCTCAGCGGTAAAGGTGAGTAAGCATATCTAATGCGTCGAACATCCATATAAACTGAATCTAAATTCATAATCAAATCATTTGATATCATGCACA